CCTACTCCAAATGACTTGACAGAAATTGTTGACCACTCCTGGAAGGCATCACCCTCCCTGTGCAATGGGGGGGTGGTCAGGGGGCATGGGAGGAAGGGAGAGAAGTAGGGAGAGGGAACTGGGATCGATATGTAAAATAAGAAGAAGAAGAAAAAAAAAAAAAAAAAAAGAAAGAAAATGGGGTCAAGACCAGGCTACAGAAACCTACGGAGACAGCTGACCTGAACAAGGGGGAGCTCACTGACCCCCCCCCCCAGACTGATAGCTGGGAAACCAGCATTGGACTGACTCAGAACCCCTGAATGTGGGTCTCAGTTAGAAGGTCTGGGCAGTCTAAGGGACCTCTGACAGTGGAACCAGAATGTATCATCCCTGGTGCATGAAAGGACTTTGGGAGCACATTCCTCATGAAGGGATACTCCCTTAGCCCAGAGGCAGGAGGAAGGGATTAGTCCCTACTCCAAATGACTTGACAGATTTAGATGACCCCTCCTGTAAGGTATCACCCTCCCTGTGGAGTGGGGGGGGGGAATGGGATGGGAGGGTGGTTGGGGGCATGGGAGGAAGGGAGGAGAAGGGACTTGGATCTATATGTAAAATAAGAAAAATAATGAATATATTAAAAAAAACCTAAGACCCAGACTTAAATTCACATACCTATGAACACCTAATTTTTGATAAAGAAGCCAGAAATATACAATAGGAAAAAAAAAAAAAAAAGAAACCATGTTCAACAAATGGTGCTGGTCTAAAATCAGATACACTGAGCATAATAGAAGAGAAAGTGGGTAATGGCACAGGAGACAACTACCTGAACAGAACACTGATAGTGCAGGTAATAAGACCAACAATCAATAGATGGGACATCATGAAACAAAAAACTTCTGTACAGTAAAGGACAATGTCAATAGGATAAATGACATTCTACAGAATGGGAAAAGATTTTCACCAATTCCAAAGCTGACAAAGGGCTAATTTCCAAAATATATAAAGAACTCATGAAACTAGAAATCCATAAATCAAATAATCCAATTAAAAATGGGGTACAGATATAATTAGAAAATTCTCAACAAAGGAATCTCAAATGGCTGGGAAACACTTAAAGAATGTTTAACATCCTTAGCTGTCAGGGAAATGCAAATCAAAACTACTTTGAGATTCCATCTTATACCTGTCAGAATACCTAAGATCAAAACCAGTTCATGCTGGAGAGGATGTGAAACAAGGGGAACATTTCTCCATTGCTGATGGGAAGGCAAAGTAGTACAACCACAATTGAAATCAATATGATAATTCCACAGATAACTGGGAATCATCTACCTCAAGTCAAGTCAAGCTACACCACTTTTAGGCATATACCCAAAGGACACCCCATCCTACCACAGGGGCACAAATTCAACTATGTTCATAGAAGCTTTATTCATAATAGCCAGAAACGCGGTACATTTATACAATGAATATTACTTAGCTGTTAAAAACAATGGCATCAGGAAATTTGCAGGCAGATTATACTGAGTGAAGTAACCCAGATGCAGAATGAAAAATATTGTATATACTCACTTATAAGTGGACATTATCTATTAAGTAAAGGATAATCATGCCTCAATCCACAGAAACAGAGAGGCTAAGTAACAAGGAGGGCTCCAGGGGGGACACATAGATAACCCTGAGAAGGGGAAATAGATTAAACTTTTTTTTTTTTTTTTTTTTTTTTTTTTTGGTAGAGTGGTGGGGATGGGAATGGGAGGGATCAGGCAGGAAGGATAGAAGGAGAGAGTACTGGGAGAAACAAGTGGAAATAGGGAGACATTTGCAGGGTGATATGGAAACTCCCAGGAATCTATGAGAGTGAAGACCCTACCAATGTGGGATAATGAGCCTAAATCAGCTATCTTCTATAACTAGGCAAGGTTACAGCAGTGGCACTGGGACACTAGCCTTGCCCCCCCCCCAAAAAAAAAAAACCAAAAAACAAAAACCAAAAACATCGACCTACAATCTGTCCTGCCTCCAAAAGATCAGCTGGAGTAATAGTGGTGCACAACTTGTGGGAGTGACCAACCAATGACTGATCCAACTAGAGGTCCACACCACTAGAGGGAGTTTCATGCCTAACATTGCCTGGATGGTTAAGAACTAGAGGCTGGACCACTCAGAGACCCAGATAGAAGATGACTAGAAACAAACAAACAAACAATGAAATGATTACTAACAATATTCTGCTATACTCACAGATGGGTGCCTAGCCCAACTGTCATCAGAGAGGTATCATTCAGCAACTCATGGGAGCAGATGCAGAGATTCACAGCCAAAGGATTATAGGAGCCACAGTGGTTGAGGACACAATGATAACATAGCCCTGAGAATCAACTAAACAGGGGACACAGAGATTGAAGCAGCAATCACAGAACCTGTATGGATCTGAGCTATGTCCTCTGCATATGCATTATGGTTGTGTAGCGGGCTGTTCTTATGGGACTCTCCTAATCAGTGGGAGTATCTCTGACCTTTTTGCATGTTGTTAGAACCCTTTCCTCCTAGTGGCTTGCCTTGTCTATCCTTAAAGGTTTGTGCCTAGTCTTATTGTAACTTGCTATGCTATGTTCAGTTGACATTCCTGCCTCCCTTCCCTTCCCTTCCCTTCCGTTCCCTTCGCTTCTCTTTCCTTCCTTCCTTCCTTCCTTCCTTCCTTCCTTCCTTCCTTCCTTCCTTCCTTCCTTCCTTCCTTCCTTCCTTCCTTTCCCTGAAGGGAAAGAGAGGACTGGATCAGGGGGAAAGGGGAGATAGTGGAGGGAGGAACATAGAGGATTGGAGGGAGGGGAACCTGTGGTCAGAAAAGAAAGAAGACTCCTTCCTGGTATCATGGCTGCCTTGAATTAAGGACTGTCAGTCAAGCAGTCAATTGGACTCCCTTATGACAGCATTGACTGTATTAAACAGTTCATGGATGCCTTGTGGTAGCTACATGACAACTAGAGCTGCTTGCTGCTGAAGCACAGATCCAGCTCTCAAAAGCATGAATGCCATTGCTACAATGATTTTAAACAGCTGTGCTAGACTCTGTTGTCACAAATTTCAGTTTTTACCCAAGCCAAAGGGAAGCATATCCTCTGTTGATCTGGCAGAGGGATTGTGATTGTATAAAATGGACAATGCCAAAACTGGTGAATGCAGCAGGCCATTTACATGGTAATGGCTGTTATTGTTGCAAACCTCTTTGTGGCTGTATAAGCAGGCTGTTCAACTCACTTTTGAACCCAGCCTGGAGATATTTCTTATGCTGTATATGGGTATTGAAACATTAGGCCCAATAAAAGTCTTCTCTCAAGTATTCTTCTTGCCTACTTCAGATTTTCATAATTAGTATGACAGGATGAGCTGGTTAAAATCAAGAAGTTGTAGTAATGCTAGGAACAATAATTGTAGAAGTTTCAGTGGGAACCACAGTAGCAGCTGAGTAGAGGTCAGAGTCACAGCAACAGTGACAGCTACAGTGGCAACAGTGGCAAAAGCCATGGCAGTAACTATAATGCAAACAGTAGCAACAGCAGAGGCAGCACAAGTGTCAGCAGCTTGTATCTATGGGTCCTACTTAACAGTAAAGGGCTTGGTGGCTGTGGGCATCATGACATGGCCCCTCTACCTGGTGTACCACTGATGCAAAATATTTGATCTGGAATCACAGATCTCTCACACAGGAAACAATACTGACTACACCCTGTGGTCCATGTCTGACATGTATTCCACTTTTGCTACATGACTGTCACTCTGCTCTGAGAACTCAGCCTTGTGCCACCTAGTGACTAGTGGTGGCAGTGTTAGTGGCAACAGAAATGAGAGGCAACTCAAATGTTGTGGAGATTGGCCTAGTTCCAAAGCCAAGGGTCTCAGACATCCTAGGCCTGAAATCTGGAGAATCCTGGCATCTTAGGTATTGAAGCTTTAATGCTAGTTAATGTCAAGTGCTGGGGAACCCTAACTTTCTAGACCTGGATAATCACTATAACACTTGTTTCCTAACCAGTGAGGCCTGCATAGATCATAACACTACAGAATGGCACCCTCTCCTGCCTGCAGCCTGGCTGAAGAAGCCAAGGGTTATAAAAGCTGCCAAAGATGATCAACACTAGCAACTCTTTCTCACTTATGCACCATTTCCAACCAGTTAGAGCAAAGGATACCAAGCAATAGCTGGTAACATCTTGTAAACCATGTTAACTCTCTCCTCTCTCCCCCCCACCTCTGTGTATGCATGCAACTAGAGCCAAGGGGTTAATGTTAAGTAGCTTTGTCAATCATTATCTACTTCAGTCTTTGGATATGAATCTTGCCAGTAGCCAAATCTGAAACCTGCCAATTGCCAATTCAGCTGGACTGGTTGGCCAGTGAACCCCAGGGATGCATCTCTCATCTCTTTCTGCTCTCTTAGCACTAGTACCTATTTTTTTTTTTTTTTTTTAACTTTGAGGAACTGAACTCAGGTCCTCAGGTTTTCACTGCAAGTACTTTATTTCTCTATTCATGACCAGGGGAAATGGCCATAGCCCTACACTTCCCAGGAGAACTGTAAGGAAAGGCTGTTACTTTTAGAATTTTATCTGTTATGTAATGATATCTCCCGCACCCAGAGCACAAGAAGGGCTATGGATATTAGGGAGCCCACATGAGAAGAATCAGGGTCTGTAAGGATCATTGGACAAGAGCCACTAGGGCAATGAACCAGCAACTCAAGTCCATTACCAGCAAATAAAGAGGCAAAATGAAATTACAAGGAGACAGTAAAACAAGATCAGTTTTTTTCCCCATGCATTATCCCAAGAGCTTATCCTAAAGTGGTTCACAGTATCTCTGCTGTGGTAAACCGAAAATCTCCTAGCCAGAGAGTGGAGGGCAACCCATCAGTAGGTAAGTACTGACAACTTTGATGAAATACGACTTTCATGGAAAATATCCTAGTTTGTGCATGGATTTGAAGTAAGTTCACAGGAAATTTTGCTTACCCATGCGTCCATCCTGAGGTGGACTAATCAGAGAGATTCTTGAAGGGCCTGCTGCCATCTCAGGCTACATATGCAAAAGAAAACAACCAGTGAAATTTCCAAACTGCCACTTGTGAGGTTCTAATTCTGTTCACCTGTCCTGAAAATCTAGCTATGCAATCTTGTCACCTCTAATAAAACTATCTGTTCATTGGATATGGCAGTCTCATAGGGTGAAACAGAGCAGGGCAGGGCAGAGGTTTGCAATAGAAAATGATTCAGGACCCCAATAAATTCCTTTAGGAATATCAGGAGAGGAAAGGACAAGTAAGATCCCTAATGATGGGGTTAGAGCTTCCTGGCTCTAACACAGGAACACAGGTAATGTTGCTGTCATTGCTTGACTCGGAGAAGACATCTGCCTTGTAAAGTTTAACATGTTTACTAACTTACCTCTTTCCATATGTCTGCCTATGTTTGGTCTGACACTCCACTTTGGAGTTTCACTCACTGAATTCTGTGTTTTTCCAGATACAAGTTATCGACCATGCCTGTTATCTTCAGTATCTTTAGCTCACCCTAAATGCTTAGGTGCTAAGGATACCTGAAACTGAATGACCTGAACCCCCTAAAATAAGGGTCCCTCTTTACCATTAATGTGGTAGAAAACCACAAGTACATGCACACCCCTGAGACAGGCCTTAGGAGGAGAGGTGGAAGCAGATGTCTAGCCTCCAAGGAGCTGAGATATGTAACAGGATCTGTGAACTTCTGGGAGGTCTAAGGTAGGGATCAAGGGAGGGGGAGGTGCCCAGGGTAGAGTGGGCATACACTGGAAGAAGTGAAAACATAAAAGAGGTTAGTTCAGCAGGGAGAGGCAGTCTGTCTTCGTGCCAACTGCCAAGGTTCTGAAGTACCTTCTTAAGGCGTGAATAATGTCTCATTCCCTGCTAAAGTGCTACTTTTATCTACTCGAAATCTAGATTCTTTCATAAGCAGGTCCAGGAGATTCTTTAGAAATAGACATCTGATTAACAAGTCCACATACTGGTATCTACCTTGGAGGGCTATTAGGAGAATGATACTCATTTACAAAGCACTTAAAACAGTGCTAGCAGGCAGGCAGGTAGCTCTATTACAAACCCTTGAAGCAACACACAATAATAAATTCACACCAAAGAAACAGTATCTTTAGACTATATACAATTTCTCTTCTTTGCTTCATCCTCCTGGTTCCAGCTCACCTGGTGATGCCTCAGCCTTGTGAAGCATCTCTGAGGGCATCATGTTTGAACAATATGGCATGCACATAATCCATTTCTGCCTGAACTGGGAAGGTGACCTTCATGGTGCATTTCTAGTTTTGGTTTCATTTTCTCTGTTTTTGTTTCTCTCCAATTTACAGTTGTGGCTTTGTTTTTTAGGCCTCACATTTCTGGCCCACTGGTTTTTATGGGGTGATAGCATACAGTTTATTATGAGCACTTCTTTCTTTTTAGATTATGGTCAAGGGAAGGTAAACCACAGGGCTATGAGTCCTGCCACTTTTACTAACATAACAATGCATGAATCCCTATTGCCTTTACCATAGATCTGGCCATAAAGACAGAAGGGAATGTTTTTGTTTCTGATCACAGCTCACCAATTAACTCTGGTGTCAACACAGTAAAGAGCTCTGCTAGAGACCACCATGTGCCTTGAGCATGTGGCAGCCCAGGTATACTTACCTTTCTTGCTGGAGGAGTCAGGTCAATTTCCATTGATTCTATTCTGTTAAACAGTAAAACATGCTAATGAGACTTAAAATTTTCTATAATTTAAAAATATCAGTTTAAATATCCTTGCATGTAATAATTCACAGAGTGAATTTCCCAGCCCTTTCATAGGGTTGTCAGGGTGTGGTTTATGTTTATGTGAATGTAGACATGTATGAACAATGAAGATGAGATACTGCAGCCTAGGCACTTGTCTGAATGTTAAGATAGGCTGTGCTTGCAATCAGTCCAATCAGACCAAATAAGCTAAGAACTGGCATTCATCAACAACTGTGTTTTGAACCTCGGTTATAAGGTCATTTCCTGGAGTCCTCCATAGTATTCATTTCTCTCACCCAGTACCATTTCTTATAAGAGCACATGCCCCTGTGTGGTATGTAAATTAATTTATTATCCTCCATCAAACAGAAGCACCTGAGCACAAGTAGTTGACATACTTGCCTCACATGAATGTCTGAAGTCAAGAATGGTGCCTCTCAGGTGCTCACAGAGCTCTGAAGAGGGCATTGGATTTCCTAGAACTAGAGTTATAGGCAGCTGTAAGCCACCTGATATAGGTGCTGGGAACAAAACTATGGTCTACTGCAACAGCAGCAAATGTTTTTAACTATTGAGTCATCTTTCCAGCTCCCCATTTTTTTTGAAAATAAGGATAGAGGTCTTTTTCTTCAAGATGGAGGCAAAGAAGAGCTTTGAAGTGAGATAGTCCTTCTGTGGCACTGACCACGCCCATTGGGGGGTGGAGCCATGGGCGGAAGTGACCTGTGGAAGGAGGTCAGAGAGAGAGCCGGGAAAAGCTCTCTTGCTGGCATGACTCGGACAGGAGAGCATTGGGTGGAATTTCCTGGTGTTCATCTGTCTAGGTTGTAAGTTATTTCTCCTTGAATAAACATCTATTCGGCCTATTTGTTTATCCTGATCCTTATTTAACCACAATAGAGCTTGGTCAAGAGCTTTAATAGGTATTCACATCTGCCTTTTAGTCACATTCTCAGATGCTTGGATGGTCAGGGCAGTAGATGTCCATACACTCAGGCAACCAATAAGAAAAACCAAACTGACCATTCCATACATCAAAGCTTCATGGAAAAGTGTACCATTATCTCAGAAAAAAACAGTCATCATGACAAAATGTGTACCATGTCTTGCATCATTGTGTTGTCTCAACTATGGAGTCCATATTTCATGGACATTAAGTATAAATAAAGAATTTACTGACCAACACAGACAAGAAATGAGAATTTTAATGTTTGTTATTTTCCAGATAGGGAAATAAAATATGCTTTTTGGTTATTTGCGCCACTTTCAGATGTGCCTCATTATAAAGCATGACTATATTATTCATATTAATTGCTAACTTGATAGGATTTAGAATTGGCCTAAACCTTTGGCACATGTTAGTGAGAAATTTCCTGGACTGAGTTAATTGAGTTGGGACAACTCATTCTGAATGTGAGTGTGGTACCATCCAATAGGAAAAGAGGGTATTGGACTGAATAAAAAGGAGAAAGCAAGCTGGCCACCAGGATCCATTTGTTTCTTAAGTGTAGAGGTAATATGACCAGGTGCCTCAATGCTACTATCTTCATACCTTCCCTACCACAAAGGGCTGCCACTTCAAGATGTGTGTAAAAAAAACTTATTTTCTTAAGGAATATATGTTTTTGTCACAGTCATGATAAAAATAGTCATTATAGAAATTTGGTACCTAGAAGTGGAACTGTTGCTACGATAAAGTTCTCAGAACTCGGAAACCAGTTTGCAGGGAGAAATGTGGAATAGTTTGGAACTTTGGGTTATAAAATTCTTAGAATACCATAAGTAAGCTGAATGTACCAGTCTGGTGTGAGTTTGGAAGAATAAAATGCTGACAGAAATATAGACAGTAGAGGCTTAGCTCATGAGGAGAAGGATTCTATTGGGCTAGAGACCATTTGTGTTATGGTCTGGCAATAAAAGTGGCTGCATTCTACTCATGGTCTGAGAACTTCAGTGAGGCTATATTAAAAAGTCTAATTTGACTGTGGAGAAAATTCCAAGATAGGATAATACCCAGGCTGTGCAATGGCTACTGCTCACTGCTCTTACCTCTTATCCAGGGCTAAAGGAAGAAAGCAACAGTAGAATGAATACATAAGTAAATTGCCCCTTAGCAGGTAAAAGGCATAGTTTAAAGTTATAGATAGACACGGTGGGTTATGAGAAAGTATCTGTAATTGTTAAAAAGATTTGCACCATTAAAAAGAAAATTTAAACTCTGCACTGGGAAAATAGGGCAAGAGCTCTAGGCAAGACTCTAGCCATCAAAAGATCCATCTTGTGAAAGCGAAGTTCTTTTGAAAGAAAAGAGTCTAAATTGAGAATGATTGACAACCACAGCCTAGGGAAGAGTTTCCTTAGGATCATCCTGGAAGGTACACAGAGGCTGATGCAGCTAAGGTCCAAGGGGCCAGGCTCATGCTGGTAGCATAATTTGGCAGCCTTGCCCATGTGGTGTTGATTCTAAGGAATGGAAGATGAAAGAATAAGGGAATCATGGAAGCTTGTATTAAGATTGCAGAAGGTCACTGAGATCAAGCAACGTATGGTATGACTGGATTCCACGCAAGGGGGTGTGACACTGAGGGGCTATTGTATGAAGGTGGAGCTGAAGCCCAATGGAAAACCCAGAAAGCTGGAGATGCCAGGATCATGGTACCTTAGCAAGGAAAGCTATAGGCATGGAGTGGGGCCATCCCAAAAGAAGAGCTTTGTGATGAGCTATCCAAGTCATTTGGAGCTGAGATGATTCTAGCAAGAACCAATACAATTTGGTGTTTTCCTTTCTGGGTATTAGTCTTGTCTACCTTTGCTTTGTCCCTATTATTTCCATTATTTGTCCTATTGTTTCCTTCTGGAATATAAATGTTTAATTTGTGTCATTGTACATTAGAAGTATACAACTTGTTTTTTTTAATTTTATTTTATAGAATCTCACAGTTAAGGTATGGGCTGTATCTCATAAGAGACTCTATGTTTATACTTTTGAGCAGCTTTGGAACTGTAAAAGATTATGTGGATCTTAAAAATTGGACAGCATTTTTCATTATAAGATGGTTATGGTAGAAAGTTATGGCTTTAAAGTGATGTTTAGATATGTAGTTGAAAAAGGGTAGATAGACTGGTGATGGCTAATATCAACTTTATGGAATAAAATTTCATAGGAAGAAAACCTTTGGGAATACCTATGCGAGAACTTATAGGTTGAATTAAATAAGGTAGAAAGATTCACCCTAAATTTTGGTAGCACTATTCCAGGAGTTGAGGTCTTGGACTTAATAAGAAGGAGGAAGTGAGCTGAACACCAGCACTCATCTTTTTCTCCTTTCTGAATGTAGATATGATATGAACACCTGCCTCATGCTACTGTTGCCATGCCTCTCCCACCATGATGTACTACTGTGCCATCAAACTGTGAGACAAAATAAACCCCTCCTTTCTCAAGTTGCTTTTGTTACAGAAATGAGAAAAGTGACTAATACAATGGACTTACTCAATGACATGTGAAAAACATAAACCATGCCAAGCCCTCCCTCTACAGCTATCTGTCATGTCATGCACAAGAGACTGCAGGCAGCCACCATTTGCATATGGCCTCTATGGGGAGCCTTCATCTCTGTCATCTGTTTTTGCCTATCTCAGTGATATGAGCTTGATGATTATCCCTAGGAGGCACTCTTACCTTTGTAGTCGCTTGATTTGTAGCACTGACTTCCTGAGGGACTCCTCCAACTGAGAAATCTGAATATAAATATGACTCCATTATTAGACAGACTATTCCAAGAAGCAGTTCAGAGAACACACTTGGTTTGTCTACAAATGTGACATTTCAGCAAGCCTGGACCTTTGTACAAAGCTGAGTCAGGTCAGAGCTCCAGAAACCCCCAACTCAGTCTCCACAAGGTAGTGGATCTTAACTAGCCAGTAGTAGCCCAGAGCATGAAGCTCTACGAGGTACAACTTAGAGATTCTGATGTCAAGTCTGAGACATGCCCTCCTCTCCACAGGTGATTTCAGAATGCAGTCCACAACATGTCAGAGTTTAGATCTGACTTTGTCACAAGGCACTAGGAAATGTCAAGAGGTAGATTTAAAGTCTCAAAATTTATAGTGGTGTATAAAACCTCTCATTTGCTGAGAAGTTTAAGAAGGTAACACATATCAAATGAGTAACCAGGGCTAGACTGAAAGAAGCCTTTAGGCTGGATTCTGGGCAGCTGTTAGGGAGTGATGCCAAGAGTGCTGTGGATAAAGCAGTGGATAGTACAGTGAGTACAGTGAACTGTGCACAGAACCTGAGGGCCCTGCCTGCCTGTCCCATCTGTGTACCAAGGCAGTGGACTGGGAAATGCCTTTTAGACTTGATAATAGGTTCTCAGAACTCTGGCTTTATAACTAGGCTCCTCACTTCATTTATTATATAACCTTTGGAGTTTTTTTTTTAAAAGGACTTTTATGTAAAAAAGCAAGAGGAATGTGAAGAAAAGCCTCTGTGCTTCTCTCATGCGCCTGAGGCCCTAGTATTGACCAGTGTAGATGAGGGCGCCTCTGTGTAGACTGTCCAGAGCAGAGGAGCTCCTAGGCAGATCAGGCAAACAGACTAATGGTCATAGAAATTAACCACCTCCTCAACCGGAAATGCAAAGAAAAATAAACCTCATAGGTGCCAGTGATCAGACCAAGGACTAAAAGAAGACAGACAGACAGACAGACAGACAGACACACACACACACACACACACACACACACAGAAATCTTGAGCTATAACAATATGACATTGAAATTACAAGATCAAACAATTCAAGAAGCAAAAGTTTGATTACACTTACCTTTTCTCGATAGAAGGCCACCAGTCTCCTCCTGTGTTTTTCTTGAAATTCTGAAATCTGGTAAGACAACACATTTCAGTTGTTGGGGGCACAAAGTCATGACATATCTCTTATGGAAGTAGAAGGTTGAAAAGAACTTTAAGTTTGGGTTGTAGCATGTTCTGTTTTACATGTACTCCCCCAGTACACCTGCATCTCCTCCCACAGGGACAGTCACAGATTGCCTGGGTTTGCTTGTGGTTAATGTGTGACCAGAGCAGACACATAGCTTAGATGTTTCATGAGGGACAGACTACCAAAAGACTTATCCAATAGGAACTCTAAACACTGAGGCTTTTTGTCTCTCTAGCAGCCTCCCTGTTTAAGATGCTCCAACGGTGTGCTTACTCTTGTGGTAAATAAGATAAAACACACAGATCCACTGTGATGGTAGTGATTATCTGAGGAAGGCTTCTGCCTAGTGAAAGACCCTAATACATGGGCTAGGGCAGGGTTAGAGAGGTGGAAAGAGTCAAAACAAGGAAGCCCAGCATGGTGGGTGGAGCTGGCAGAGACCAAGGTAGCCTGTGTGGACTGTTAAGAGTCACCTACAACTGAAGGCAGCACCATCCCTGTCTCACAAGAAACCTCATGTACTCTATGTGATTTGAATTGGGCTTCTGAGAATGGTAGTGTGAACAAGTGAACAGTGATCCAAGGCTCACTCAAAAAAAAAAAAAAAAAAAAAAAAAAAAAAGAAAGCTGGTTAATGGTTTGAGTAAATGGTGTCAACTTAGCTGAGACATTAAACTGTCACTCCTTCACCTAAATCAGCCATCACTCAGTTCTGAGTCCACAGGTATAGGGTGATTATAGGTAACATTGATATTTTAAGGGTCCATACCTCCCTCTAGGTAATAACAGCACAGACACAAGGGTGGTCTTCATTTACCACACAGCTTACCTTGGATCATAGTAGCACTAGCCCCTATATACATTCCAGTACAGTTATGGTGTGGAAAGCATCAACTCAACAGAGCATGCGACTTATCCACCTTGAGAGCCTACTCCCAGAGATGGGACTATGTAGGGCATGAACCTTCAGGTTAGCAGGGACAATATCCTCACTATAACTGAGCTCTGGCTCTACATTGTTAATGTGGCTTAAGTCTTTGAGTCTCTGTAAATAGAGTTCTTTATTGATCTAAATAATAAAAACCCACAGATACAGAGGAAAATGCTGAGAGATCAGAGAAGGAACAAGCCAAAGCCATCTTTACCTCATTAGCTTCCCAGTGGAAGAGTGAGTTCCTGTTTCTTCCTGTTTACATCCTCCGTCTGCCCAGCCATTTCACTTCCTGTTTCTGCCCAGCCATTTCACTTCCTGTTTCTGCCCAGCCATCTCACTTCCTGTTTCTGCCTAGCCATCTCACTTCCTGTCTGTCTGTACAGACCTCCTGACCTCTATGGCCATCCTCTGATCTTCAGACAAGCTTTATTTGTACAAGCAAGATATCACCACATGCATCCAAAAAGAATCACAGGTTTTGAGACAAGATAGAGACAATCTAATGACTGCTGCTCACAAAGGAAAGTATAGACTTCTTTGAGGCAATCCCTGTAGGAATCCTCACTGGAGCAACAGTCAATAACCTTGAGCATCTTTTTCAACTGTGCAAGCAACTCTTGCCCCTCAAAGCCCAGATCCAAGGGCCTTGTCACGAACCCTCTTCTTGCCTGCAGGGATAGCCTAATCTTCCAGGGAGAGACTTAGTGACAGCTCCCCCTTCCCTGACTGTGGAAGCCCGCTAGTATGATGTTTGAACAGTGTAAGGCTGTGTCTGGAGAATTTTCTTTTCTTAAAATTGCCCCTTCATACTTGTGTAAGGCACATGGCATTATCTATGTTCTAGGTTTGACCTACAGGCCAGGTGGAGCTGAGAATTGTTCTGGCAGCAGACTGATATTCCCAGTTTTTAAAACACTGCCAGCTGCCCATCTAATGTCTTTTTTCTTAGTACATTCCACACTGGCAACGAGAGAAAATTTTCTAAGCCATTCTCTCAGCGACTCACAGTTCTGTAACATGTGTCAACACAAATCAGGAGGTAGGCTCCCAGTGGGGTGGACGCAGGAATCTGGCAAGACCTGTTGATGGGAATGCCCCACTTGCCATGGAATGGTGAGTTTTGTATAAGAACCCTGGTAATAGCAGCTTGCAGGCCTATAGTTGACTGCTCAAGTCTCCACAGCTGCAGATTTGGCAGAAACAGCTGCTCCTAGGATAGAGCCAAATGTCAAGCAGCACTGGAACCCCCAGAATCTTGTCATGGTGATGGGCTAAAGCTTCTTAGAGAGACAGGCTTGTACTATAGATGAGACCAATCCGGAGAGCCTCTTGTGGTAATGGGAGTGGGCAAGCATCTGTGTCACTAGGTCTTCATTCTGCCTGGACTTTCCAGGTCTGTTGTCTCAGGTTGTCTGGGAGTTCTGGGTTGTTCCCAGGCAATGGCTGTGCTCTAAAGACTAGAGTGCTAGCAGTGGCCTCATGAGGGAGACTTCATTAGTTAAAAAAAAAAAAAAGGATTGTGAACCCTAGGAATGGTGGCACAAAACTGTATCCCAGCATCTGGGAGCATGAGGTAGGAAAATTATAATTTTAAAACAAGCCTAAGCTATATAGCAACTTCTATGTTAATTAATCACACACACACACACACACACACACACACACACACACACACACACACACACACACGGGGGGGGGAGGGAGGAGAGAGAGAGAGAGAGAACACAAAAAAAACTACATGGACTGTGACAGTAGATAAGGCCAGCCCCAAGGCTGAGAATACCCTACTCTGAACTACTGGACCAGGCCTGCTCAGAGACAGGAATAGCACAGCTAAGAAAGAGAGGACAGGAGGATAGGATGAGGAGCAGGGAAGGGCAGCTTTCTCTTAAGATTAGTATACTATAAGTTGTTCAGTAAAACAAGGTAAATGACATGGAACCTTGGGCTTAGTGTAGAAGACACTGATACATGATGTTAGGGATGAAGGTCAAGTGAGAGTGTCACTGACTACAGGAAGTAGCAAATAGCAAGTATGTCAATGAGGAAAAGGGTAGAAAGAAACAGATAGAGAGGCAAGTGTCACAAGAACCAGAGAAAGGATGCATGGAGCTATATGTTACTATAACAGGAACAAAGCAAAGATGTACAATCCTGGGTGACAACCCACAAAGGATAGTATCAAGAAGAAATCTACTGACTGAACTTAACAGAGCTCCATCTGAGTGGAAACTGGTCTTGCAACTGAGATTATTAGAAATATCTGTGGGGGAATATCTGGTATCTGTGGGGGAATAATGTCTAAAGGGGGGTAGATCTAAGTTGAGCTCACATGTGTCTCAATGGCACACAAAAGCACAAAAAACAATATAGATCAGAAAGATACTATCAGTACTGAAACATTTATGTTCAACTATTTTACAAGTGAGATGGTTTAAAAAAAAAACAACTCAGGCAGGGCGATGGTGGCACATGCCTTTAATCCCACCACTCAGGAGGCAGAGGCAGGTGGATCTCTGTGAGTTTGAGGCCAGCCTGGTCTACAGAGTGGGTGCCAAGACAGATTCGAAAACAATACTGAGAAACCCTGTCTCAAAAAACAAACAAACAAACAAAAAACCAAAAAACCACACACACACACATACACACACACACAAAACCAAACAACAACAACAAAAACCAAACCAAACCAAACCAAAACAAAACAAAACAAAAAAAAACCTCAGAGAAACAGAAGATATTTTCACACTCACCTCTGCAAGAGACTGGCTTCTAGAACACTTACATCACAGGGTTTCTAAGGTAATGTGTTCTGGGCATCACCAAATCAAGCCTCAAGGTCACAACTCACCTGAGAGGTCTCCTGGGAATACTTCTTACACAAACCATCTATGCCCAGAAAGAATGTCTGGATATTGGAGTTAGTCTGAAGAGAAAGCAAATGACTATGTAGAAACTTCTGGCCACTAGTTATAAAATTGTCTTTCAAGATCTACAATTAACTACACATAACACAAACAGCAATTCACCCCATGAAGGTAGTCACACCTCTAAGGAGCATGCAGGATAGTGGCACCCATTGGCAGCTACTAAGCCTCTCTGGATGGACCACATGCCCCTTTATATCCACTGAAAATATGCTTCAAAATGAAGGCAAAGGGGATGAGTTTTATCCAAACCAAGGATTTGTAATCAACAGATTGATACTAAAAGCAAAAATAAATTCTCTGTGGGTAGGGAATGATCATTACAGACCACAGTGTTTGGGAGGCAGCAAAAAGCAAGAGAAGAGGAAGTATGGGGAAATCCAACCAAGTATTAGTTTTGTGTGGTGGTGCTGTGTTATCAATTTAGCATAAAGCAAGAGCCAATTTCCATCTGAGGAGGGAAAGGATGCTGAAAAGGTCAATGGACTACCTGAAGTCCTTGTATGGTCAGGAAAATCTAACTTAGATGAATCTTAAAAAAAAAAAGACTTCATTTTTATTTTAATTATATGTATAATGTGTGTGTCTGTGTGCAGGTATGTTCCCATGAGATCAATGGAGCCAAAAATCTGTTTTCTGAAAATGTTGAAATGAGTTCATACCACTTAATACATATTTGGCAAGGTTGCTCATGAAAAAAGGACTCACAGCAGTCATTCAAAATTAGAAAAGAAAAAAACAGCAGTGTGTGGAGGGAGGCACACACCTTTAATCCCAGCACTTGGGAGGCAGAGGCAGGCAGACCTCTTTAAGTTTGAAACCAGCCTGGTATACATAGTGAGTTCCCAGACAGTCAAGATTACATAAAGAGACTCTGTCTCAAAAATCCAAAGTAAGTAAAACAAAATAAAAGAACATTATTCTAGACCTTGTGGACCTGATTTGAGTTAAGTAAGTACATAAAAATGTAATTGACACTGAAAGTGTAAAACTCTAAGTGAATCTTTATGGTTTCAGAATTTTAACGGTACACCAATTCATTGCAATGTATAGTTTGGGGCTGGATTTGAGTGGCTATGTTAATCTAGCCATGTAGCGTTTCTATTTGTGAGTTAATTACAATAAGCTTATACATTTATATGTACATAAATACATACATACATATACACATCCAGGTTGGTCCTGAACTAGTTATTAGTTATGTAGACCAGCCTGGCCTAGAACTCTAGTCTTTGCCTCCTAAGTGCTGGAATTAAAGGCATGTGCTACTCTAAGAACTTCTATGAGTCTTCAAAATTGAGTATGTAATACAGGAAAGAAAACTTTCAATTCCAGCTTGTTTATGAACATGGTGAAAGAAATCCCAAGTGAAGTAATAGAAAATTGAATCTATCTGTAAAAGCTGAATTATGTCATTACAAGCTGACTCTATTTCTGTAATATTATATGACTTTTTAAATTTTAACGTAAATGAAGGGGTCAGAGAATTGGTGTAGTGGTTCCTAGAATCCATGTTGGGCAGTTCACAACTACCTGTAGCTCCAACTCTCTGGCCTCTGTAGGAACAGCACATATGTGCACATATCACCTACAAACACATACTTTTTAAAAAAGTAAATAGTCTCCACTCCACAAACAAAATATGGTAAAACAGAAGTTACCGAGTTACAGAAAAGTAATAAATATAGTTATATTGATTATATACCATTCATGATTTAAAAAAAATATGTTTAGTAAACCAGTGTACACATTTGGTGAAATGCTAAAACCCTGACCATGAAGTAAAGACAGAGACCAGGGTGCTTGTTGTAGTCAGCATTTCTACATAGGACCATACCGTAGTTCTTTCCAATGACTGCAGACACTACTGCATATACAAATATTCTAGAAGAAAAGGACCATTTCAGCAAAGTCACTATGGGACCAGGCTGGCGGGAAAACTGCTTGTAACTACACCTACAATATGGGTACTAAGAACTTCCATTTAAAACTCAACAAAAGCTTAAAAAGGGATTTTAAAAACAAAATAACAGAAACAAACAAGTCTTCTTGGTAGCAACATTTTTCTCAGGTGGGCTGTTTTGCTAGAGACAAGCAGAGATTTGTGTGGCTCCTTTAAGGGAGATTTCCTAACTTGGCATAAGAGGCAAACCCTGCTAACAACTTAATGGTGCGAATGAGAGCTGGCAATGGCAATGACACATTTCCAAGATGGCAGCATGCTGCTGGATGGCAGTGTAGATCAAGGCTGTAAGCACAGCTCTCATTGCTGGTGGTAAACTTACTCCCACCATCTTGAATAGACATTGGCTAAAATAGCTGTGGCTTTAATTTTAGCAATGTTGTTTAGCAGATAAAAGACTCGTGGCCAGAAAAAGATAAAGATTTACAGTAAAGATAGGTTCAGATAAAGAAAAATCTCTAAAGGTTTACAGTGTGTTTTAAAATATACATAGGCTTGGGAGAGAAAAAGAAACAGGACAAAATGGTTTAAAAAAAATAGAGAGTAGCTTGGTGTGGTGGCACATGCCTTTAATCCCAGCACTCAGGACGCAGAGGCAAGAAGATCTCTGTGATTTCAAAGTGAACCTGCTGCACAGAGTGAATTCCAGGGAAGCCAAAGTTACACAGAGAAACCCTGGTCTCAATAAATGAAAAAAAAAAATAGAAGTAAAAGAAGTAGAGTAATAAAAAAGCCATGTGAAGGTAGAAAGCACACAGAGAGTCTGGATACTGTATGCTGTTGTGTTGTCTTTGAATTGCTCCAATTGTTAAGGAAGGAATACACTTGATTATCAATGCTGCTGAATTAATCCAATTTATATATTTTAAAAAATGCTTTGACTTCAAATTTAAGTCTAAGGACAGATTACTGGGAAAAGAATTTCTACTTTCGTTTCCACAGAAAATAAAAAGATATGGATTCCTTCCAGACTAACATGGTTTGATCAAGCAAGACCCCCTGAAACAGTGTCCCAGGTGATCCAACATTCAAAACAGCTGAGACAAGGCAGCCTTGCAGACCACTACAGCCAGGATTTCTTCTTCTTAGGATTCCCAAGACAGCACCCCCTACCAGCATTAAGTAGTTTGGAAAGAACAACGCCCAAATTCCCAAATACTGTCTAAAATGTTTGTTTTCATTTAAATAGGTTTGGTTATAAATGGTTAATGATCACAACCAATCTCTTTTTAAAGGTAAAAAGGGGATTATGGTACAGAAATGAATACTTTGTTTTGGAATGGATTTTCATTTATTGATACAAATTTAAGGTCAGTTTTGTGATAAGTATATTTCTCCTCTTGTTTAGGTATTGTGTTTGTAGAGTTCATTTTAAAAAGTTCAGATTATAGATAGTACCTATAATATTTAAAAGTTATAGTGTTATTTAGATTTTCTAGATATACAGAGATGTATTTGATAGACATTCTTCAAATCTTTCAAAAACCTACCATTTACAATGGTTTAGGGTTTTTCTTGACATTGAGACATAACTGCTCCTGGCAACATCACCTGCATCAGAAAGGAAGATGGACATCGAAGAAACTCGCTATGGAGTTTACTTCCAATATGGCAAGACTAGCCATTTGGGCAAGATGCTGCTCTTGTCTGGACTTTATGCTGTATAAAATGGACATGCAGAACCCACAGAAAAGTGATTGCTGAAACAAGATGGACATTGCTGTAGGGTTCCTGTTTCATGAAAGACTTTGCCAGACATTCTACAGGACACAGAGAAAAGTGACTGACAAACTGCCAATACAGGTGGACAGTTTAAAGTTTCCTGTTTTGTTGAGGATTCTGCCAGACACACTTTGGCCTATAGGCTGCAGATGGAACATTACAGAAGAACTTCAGGTGACCTACCAGGTAGCAAGATGTCTTTGTCATTTCTAGAGTTTATATATTATCGTTCTGTGGTCTTTGAGGAAATTGAAGACAGATAGATATGGTTATAGCTTTCCTTAGTTAGGATTAAAGATAAGTTACATATAAGACTCACAAAGCTAGGATAGATGATGGAATATTTTCTTTAAATCTTGCTAAATGTTAATGGACTAAATATTTTTAACAATAATTCTTATTTGATAACTGTTTTGTTATATGTTTTACTATGTTAAAGTTAAAACCCTTCTTTTTATTTTATACAGAAGAGAAATGATGGGAGATGTCACTTTGTAAATATGTTTCTCTTATTGGTTAATGAATAAAGCACTGTTGGCCAACAGGAAAGCAAAATAGGCGGGACTAGGCGACAAGGAGGGTTCTGGGAGATGCAGTAGAGGAGATTCAAGACGTAGAGACTTGAGAGAAGTCTGGACCCGCTAAGATAAGACCCCATGAAAAACACTTAGATTAATAGAAATGGGTTAATATTTAAGACAGAGCTAGCCAATAAGAAACACCAGTAACTGGCCAACAGCTTTAAATCAAATACAGCGTCTCTGTGTGTTATTTGGGGCTGATGTGGCAGTGGGACCAGGCTGGTGGGAAAACTGTTCGTAACATCGCCAGTGTTACATCATATTTTTAAAAAATTATTTCATTTTCCGTACCAACCAGTTTCCCCTCCCACCTCAAGGCCATCCTGGTCTACAGAGGCAGTTCTAGGACAGGCTCCAAAGCAATACAGAGAAACCCTGTCTCGAAAAACCAAAACCAAATCAAACCAACCAAACAAAAAACAGTAAGATAGTATGCAGTCATGTAAAAATATTGTACTCTAAACACAGTATCATTTGAAGAAAATTCTGTAAAAAGATAAATCATAAAATACATGGACTAGGTGCCAACTTCTGGATGCTGACATCTTTGGAACAGGATCTGGGGATGGCTATATTATCTGTTAGGACTTTCTATATTGTCTGAGTTGTTAGGTAACTCTATTTTTGTTATAAATATTGTGATGTTTAAAAATAATGGTTCAAATATACATATGGAGAATAGGCATAAAAGAGACAACTCATTTAACAAGTTTATACCAAAGAATAAATTAATCTGACATATTTCATAGATAGAACTAAAGGCACTGGTTTAAGGCAATGGAGCAAATAATTGACTTTAACTTACATTATGAACAATGCTCTGAAATATTCATTATGAATTTGATGAAAAACCAAACTTGCCCAATTAGGAAACTGGTGTTGTACTAAGGAAATCTAACCAATTTTCATTTCTAAGAACATAGCACAATCCAAAAAATTGTGATTAAGGTCAACCTATGGCTAGGAAAGAAAGAATAATGCTGTTTAAAAACCAATCTTGTTTGGTATGGAAGTTCATGTCTGTAAGCTAAGGCAGAAGGATCTTGGGTTTGAGGACATCCTGGATGGCACAGTGACAAACACATGCTTAGCAAAACTAAACAAAAACAAAGAAAATTACAAAGAAACATCAATCAATCAAAACCAATCAATAGTAAAACCAAACCACAGAACAAACAGTAAAACCAAATCCAATTATGTTTCATTACTCACAAGTCTCATTAACCTAGCAAAGTGATCAAGAATTATAGATATTGTAGTTACTAATAATCTAGATTCAAGTTAAAATGAAATACTATTATAATGAATTTTCAAATTCTAGAGATTTCAACTTACATTTTTTGAAAGTAAAACTGTATTACATGGAACTTGACAGATCAAGCATTCATCTTTTTTACCTATCAAAGGAAAACAAATGTTTAATTACACTATACTGAACAGTGTTGTGAAACATGTGAACACAGACTCTGAGTTAGAATGCAGAATTACACAGTATCTAAATATTTTTACGTTCTTATGTGATGGGGCTGTGGATTCAGTGAAACAATTTATATAACCATTTATTTTCCTGCTTTATAAATGTGTCCCCCCCAACAGTGACCATAAGTGTCAGATATACTTAAATTTTACAGTGGTATTCTCTCCCCACATCCAGTGCGTGCATGCCTGTGTTGTGTGTGTGTTGTGTGTGTGTGACACTCACACACTCATATACACTAAGGTTCTACCATTAAATTTTAGCATCAGCCTTTTTAAATTTTTCTTTTTAGGTCTGGGAATGATGGCACACAACTTTAATCCCAGCACTCAGGAGGCAGAAACAGAAGGAGCTCTGTGAGATGCTTATCTACAGTCAACTCCAGGATAGCCAAGCCTACATACATACCTTATCTAAACAAAACAAAAAACCAAAACTCTTTGAGTCTGGATCTTGCTAAGTTGTCCAGACAGGCTTTGAACTTCCAATCTTCTTGTTTCAACTAGATACAAGGCAAACATTATCACTTGGTTTAGTGATTTTAATTTAAAAGTTAAAATGAAAATGACACCTTTAAACCTCTATAATACCCCTCAAGGTCACCATTATATCATCCTGTGTTTCTGCTACCTAAGAGCCAGTCTCAGTTGAGCCATAAAAGATTTATACATCTGTCTACCTGCCATCATATAACTAATTCATCTGCTCACACTCTAGTTCTTTGTTGATCATTTTGGGGGATTTTGTATTTTACTATCCTCTTCTCCATGAAACTGACTTCCGTCTAGGCTTGAATCTTTGAACTCCATGGCTAGCTCTTAATACCAGTCATGTTATCCCATCCATTCTGGGCCCCTTATCAGCATCTCTATGGCTACCAAACCTATGTAAAAAGGGAGCATTGTTACATGACTTCTTACACTTAAACTCACCTATGTTGAGGTAATTGTATATTCTCTCTCTCTCTCTCTCTCTCTCTCTCTCTCTCTCTCTCTCTTTCTCCTCTCTCTTTCTCAATAGGATGTGAAGATGAGCAAATGCCAGCCACTCATCCATCCAGCTACACAGCAATCCATGGAGTAAAAGTGAGATTTACAGAGAAAAGGAAAAGCCAGAGGCAAAAGGTAAACAGGACAATTTAAAGATAAGAAAAGCTGGCTAGAAATAAGTCAATGTAAAGCTGGGCATTCATAACTAAGAATAAGTCTCAGTGTATGATTCATTTGGGAGCTGGGTGGAGGCCCCCCCACCAAGAGAAAAAACATTAACACCACTTTGGCCACTCAAGAAAGATACACAAGTGAGGAGGGCACATCAAAGGGAGAATCTAGATAGGCACTGCCTCTCTGGAGAGCAATTTGGCCTACTTTAATGTGCATATCCACATTTTAGCAGTTCTACCCCAAGTGGAAATTTTTTTTTAATAATCAAATGGCATAACACATAAATGTCTTCCAGTAGGGAATGAAATAACTTATGGTATAGTAACTGAGGATATTTATAACCTTAAAAATAAAACAGACGTGTATTTTTCCACCAGCCTGGTCTTAGAGCCCTGGCAGTCCCAAAATAACAGAGACACTGCATTAATTATGAAACTGTTGGCTTGTTAATAGCGTTTTTTTTTATTGACTAGCTCTGTCTTAAATATTAGACCTAGAACTCCAGCATCCACCAGCAAAAGAGTTCAGCTCCTTGCTTCCTTGAATTAAGTCTGTTGAATCTACTTAGCATTTCTCAAATCCACCATTTCTCCTGATCGCAGGGGCACATCTTGTTTACATTGCTTCTCACAAGGCCCATTACACAGCTTCTCCTGAATTTCTCTCATTACAGACTACTTTTCACACAGTCTGCTTCTTAGAAAATACACCAGAAAACCAGGATTCTTCCCCTGGTTTTTACATGTACCTTACAAATACATGAGCCAAAGTTTTCACAGTAGCATCATCTGTCACTTACATATCTGGAAACCATCCATGTTAGTTCAACTAATGAATAATTTGGAGTGTGACCACACAGCAGAGTTCAATGACTGTGGCATGTACATTACTGACACAAAATACTGTGTGTAAATTCCTAGACAATTAAGGTAAGGCCGGAAAACAAGATGAGCTGAAGTTTCCGTGAATCATCTGAGGACTGGTTGTGTACCTACCTGTTCCTTTATTTGCCAAATTAAACATGTTGGTCACTTTGGGTAATCTCACAGCTTCTGGCCCCCTCCCCCACACTACTGTCGCAGAAGCTTTAACAAAAAAGCATTCACATCTGACCAACTGGCTGCTGCAGATGCCTAAATAAGAAGCAGCTAGTTTTCTGCAGTTCCAGCTACGGATCCCAGTGGTGGTTTGGTGGTTCTGGGGCCGTGCAGGCCCACATTGGTCTCTTACCCCTGCCCCGCCCGCGGGAGGAAACCCACACCGTGAACCCTGGCCAGCTCCCCTGTCTTCCCGCGCAGACCTTTTCGAAGGCAGGCGTCGCAGTACACATGCCCGCAGCTGGTCAGGCTGAAGGACGACTTCCTGTGCGGTGGCTGGAAACAGCGATTACAGAACACCCAGCTGGCCATGACCTGAGGCCCACGTGAGGCTCACGCGACACCCGTGCGAGGTCACGAGGTCAGCAAGGCCCACGAGGTAAGGACGCACTTCTCAGCGCCCAGGCTCAGACTAGAAAGGCAGCTCTGCACTCTGCGCCTGCGCCCAGTGCAGCGCATGCGTACTAGGGCGTGGCTTCCCTCCCAAACCTTGGAGCCGATTCAGGCTTCTTGAGGTTGCCAGTGCCACGAGCAAAGAAAGGCCACCTTCTCAGTGGTGAAGGGCAGCGATAGTGGTTTCTGGTACACCATGAGAAAGTAGGTGGCTAAAGTAGCTGGGTGAAAAGTCACCAAGGGAGACTGGGTGGATCAGGTCTAAGACTAGAGACAGACCCAAGGATATCAGTACATACCTTAATGGAGAGGATGGAAAACAGGGAGCCGCTGAAATCAAAGAGGACCTTTGTCCTAGCAGGGCTGGAGGAATGGACTACTACCAGAAAGATGGTGGATGGAGTTTTGGACCAGGCTAGCAGGGCCAGAAGTACCGAGGGAACAATACTTGGGAGAGATTGCACTGGGCCATCGGACAGAAGTTTATCAGAGCAGTGCAGAGATCCCTGCTTGCCACCAACATGTACACAAGAAAGCTCTTAATTTAGGGAGGATCATTTCACCTTTGACACATTAGATGGTGGAAGGGACTAATTTCTGGCAATATAAAATTATTTCAAAATTAAAAACATTACTTTTTAATAGTTGTGTTTCTTACATATTCTGGATACCTTCCCTTCCCTTTCTGTAAGTATACAAGGATTGGTAGAGGATATGTGAGAAAGTTCCTGGGCTATTTACATGTATGGAGAAAAGTTTACTGTTTTTCAAGGAGTTAGGAAAAAGTAAAGATGGAAAAAAATCCATTTGATCTGTATTTGTTTCACTAAGCCCTTAAAATATGGATGGTCCAAATTATGCTGTTAGTATAATGTAGAACCCAGGCTTACAAACTTAGTATGAATAAAAAAAATATAAACTATCCTTTAGTATTGAGTGTACATTAAAATTAAAGTAATTTTGATTCTTTGTGTTACACTGTCATGCTTATGAGATAAGGTCTTTGTGACAGCTTGAATAAAGTGAGACCAGATAACTTAAAATTGCACCTATAGCTCATTGGTTGTTGCTGATTTATATCAAGCTTAAAATGATGTGCTTATTTTATTATTAAAATAACATTATACCAGGAATATCATTCTGTAATATTAACATCAATCTCTAATATCTCTTAAAGCATAAAATAAGACACATTTAGAGATATATTTTGGTTTATTAATTCAAATATGGTACAAATTATTTGCTTTCACTTATAATATTTTATATTTATATTTTTTTATTTTTATTTTACATATCGATCCCACTTTCCAGTTCCCTCTTCCTCCCTCCCTCCTTCCCTCTCTCCCACCCTCTCATTCTCTCCCCTTTCCTCCCATCCCCCCCCAACTCCACATGTAGGGTGATGCCTTCAGGAGGGGTCATCTATATCTGTCAAGTCATTTGGAGAGGGACTAGTCCTTCCCTCCCGCCTCTAGGTTAAGGGACTATCCCTACATGGGGAATGTGCTCCCAAAGTCCTTTTGTGCACCAAGGATACATCCTGGTTCCACTGTCAGAGGTCCCTTAGACTTCCCAGGCCTTCTAACTGAGACCCATGTTCAGGGGGTCTGAGTCAGTCCCATGCTGGATTCCCAGTTATCAGACTGGGGACCCATTAGCTGTCTCTCTGGATTTCTGCAGCCTGGTCTTGTCCTCCCTCTCTGCATCTGGATTCCAGTTCGGCTCAGTGTTTAGTTGTCGGTGTCTGCTTCTGTTTCTATCAGCTACTAGATGAGGGGTCTATCACGGTTAAATAAGAATCAGGATAAACAAATAGGCCGAATAGATGTTTATTCAGGGAGTAATAACTTACAACCTAGACAGATGAACACCAGGAAATTCAACCCGATCCTCTCCTGTCCGAGTCTTGCCAGCAAGAGGGCTTTTCCTCGCTCTCCCCCGACCTCCTTCCACAGGTCACCCTGCCCATGGTTCCACCCCCAGTGGGCGTGGTCAGTGCCACAGAAGGACTATCCCACTACAGGGCTCCATGATGATGGATAAGTTAGTCATTGATCTCTCTATCAGGGAAGGGCATTTATGATAGCCTTTCTACTATTGTTCAAATTGTTAGTTGGGGTCAGTCTTATAGGTCTCTGGACATTTCTCTAGAGTCAGTTTTCTCCTCAAACCTATACTGGCTCCCTCTTTTATGCTGTCTCTCTCTCTGTCTTTTTTTTATCTCCTGGATTCCTTCCCTGATTCAATCTTCCTAGTCCCACATGCTTTCCTCTCCTCCCCTTCTCTTTCTCCTAGCTCCAGCTCCATTCACTGCCCCCCTACTCCCAATATGCTCAGGAAATCTTGACCCTTTCCTCTTCTGTTATACTAGAATCCTCCTTGTATACTAGTTTCTCTGGCAGTGTGAAGTTTAGACTGGTGACTCTTTGCTCTATGTCTAAAATCCATATATGAGCGAATACATACTATGTTCCTCTTTTTGTGACTGGGTTACCTCATTCAGGATGGTTTTTTCAAGTTCCATCCACTTGCCTGCGAATTTCAAGATTCCATTGTTGTTTTTTTTTTCTGCAGAGTAATATTCCATTGTGTAAATGTGCCACATCTTCTTTATCCATTCTTCAGTTGAGTTGCATCTGGGTTGCTTCCAGGTTCTTGCTATTACAAATAATGCTGCTATGAACATAGTTGAACAGATGTCTTTGTTGCATGGATATGGATCATTTGAGTATATGCCTAAGAGGGGGATTGCTGGGACCTGTGGTAGACTGATTTCCATTTTCCTGAGGTACTGCCTTACTGATCTCCAAAATGGCTGTACAAGTTTGCACTCCCACCAGAAGTGGAGGAGTGTTCCTCTTTCTCCACATCCTCTCCACCATAAGTTGTCATTGGTGTTTCTAATTTTAGCTGTTCTGGCAGGAGTAAGATGGTATTCTGGCAGGAGTAAGATGGTATCTCAAAGTTGTTTTGATTTGCATTTCCCTAATAGCTAAGGATGTTGAGCACTTTCTCAAGTGTCTTTCAACTTTTTTGATTTCCTCTATTGAGCGTTCTATATTCAGTTCTGTACCCCATTTTTTAATAGGGTTATTTGGTGTTTTGTTGACTAGTTGGATGTATACCTTTAAAGAATCAGAGGACAAGAAAATGTGTTGTGAGGGTGCCATAGGAGAGGATAAGAGTAAGGATGGCTATGCTGGAGTAGAGGGAACTCAGGGAATCTTCTTTGAAATAGAGAACAGACCTAAAGGAATGGAGGACTGAAAAATACTGAATTAAACCTGTGAAACTGTACGCCAGCCACAATTAAATGTTTTCCTTCATAAGAATTGCTGTGGTCATGATGTCTCTTCACAGCAGTAGAAACCCTAACCAAGACAAGAATAAATATTACAAATATTTCTTTATACTATATTTGGTAAATGTAGGACCTTGTCTCTTAACCAGCTCGGGGCTGATCCTCATGGCAGTGGTATTTGTCTATCCTGTTCTATTTTATAGGTCAGCCAGTGGGTCTCAGGTAAAGTTCCAGCCCAAAGTTCCATAGTTCCTATGTTATATAAGTGAAATTAGGATGGAGGCAGTCCAATTCTGGTACTACTTCCTGGCAGTAATAAAGGTGACAAGCAGGATTGGGGCTGGAGAAAGAAATTTTATCCTAGATTTCCACCTTCTAGAAAGTGAAATACCAGAAAGGGAATACCAGAATGAGAGTCTCTCTAGATGAGAAACCTGCAGCTTACACTTGGTCCCTGCTTATACTTCAAATTCTTTAGCCTTAGGAAGCTTTTCCACAGTATTGGCCTCCATCCATACTTCCTTTAAGTTTGTTAGCCACACATTTACTATATGCTCATACTCTTTAGAATGGTCCATTTCAGCACATTCTTTAAAAAGTATTATTGATAATTATGAACAAGATAGAGTGAATACCTTCTGCCTTACTCTTCTTGTTAGCTACAGCTAAACTCTGGGTAAAGGTATGAAACAACCATCAGAAGACTTAAGATGTAAAGGGAAACAGTAACTGGCTCAGGACCTTAGGACTCAGCACAATTCAACCTATTTGCTTTCCTCCATTTTACATATTCTAGTCCATAAGAACAATTTGTACTTTACGGGAGGGAGGGAGGGAGGCACAGAGGAAAAGAGGGAAGAAAGGAGGTGTATCTTTGAAGAGTGAAACCTTTTGATGCTACATGTCCTGGTTCAGATGAATCATCTGAAAGAAATTGCATTCCTTACACTGGATACTTCTGCTATGGAGAGGATGGGATGGAGCTCTAGCAAAATACTTACTCCACACTGAATAAACAACACAGAACACCTTTCTTCTATACAAAGAACTAGGAGAAGTCCAAAGAGGAGAGAGCTGGAGGAAAGGATCCAACCTAGGTCTTAGGTCTTGGTCATACATTAAAATAGTTCATACATCAAACTAAGATACATATTTTGAATCTAAATTGTTAAATAGGAACCAGTGCCATAGCATAATGCTTAAAATGTCCAAAATATAATGCAGGGTTTCTTGCTCTGTGAAGAACCAAGAAATTTTAACTGGAATGAGAGAAGGCATTTACCTAACACCAGTACCAAGATGACACAGTTATTGCCCAAAACCTATAAAGCATTTGCCATAAAATTTTCTTTAAACAGCAGTATGAATACTCATAAAATAAAAAATAGATGTTATGAAAAGAACAAAATGAACACATTCAAACAGAAAAAGATATAGTATTTAAATTTGGAGAAGCTTCACCTTGCCGAGTAGACTCAAAAATGGAGCAAAGATGATTGGAAAGAATTAGCAAGGCAAAACTAGATTAATAAAAACAATCAAGCCTGAATAATGGAGAATGGCATTTTAATAGAGTCTCATGTACTACAAAACAATGATCAAAGGTCTAAAATTTGTGGAGTTCCAAGGGAAAAGAAAAAGAATGTAAGGGCAGAAAAAAAAATGGAGAAAATAATGACTA